TAACAAATTGTTTGGAAAATCAGGGAATTCCCAGGGAATTTTTTTCGAGCTCGAGTAGACAACTTCATAATTATTTTATTGCATATGTAAAAGTTCTACATGATCAATGTGCAAAAACATATTTGTAAATAATATACTGTATAATTTGTTAATTATAAGTTTTAAATTTAAAACTATTCAGACAAATTTATATAAATTATATAATTTGAATAATTATTTACACAATGCTACCTTATTTACATCTTTTTGTCATGAAGTATAAAAGTTAAGGAAGGAAAAAGAAAAAGTAATGGAAAGGAGGAAATTGAGGAAAAAATATAGAAAATACTATATTTGTGTTTCTTCTCTATCATTTATTCCAGACAATTAGTTTTTAAGTTAAAATATTTTATAAGACTTGTGAATATCAGGAAATATATTAACACATACAAATATATTTGTAGAGTTTCAAAAACTCATATTCTGAAATACATAAACCAATCAAAACAAAACCAATTATTCACTTAGGATCAATTTCACAACCTCAAATTAATTTAACCAACCGATTAAATGTTAATTGTGATTGTTTATTTCTGGTCAATTCTATTTAATAATAAATGTAATTGGTCAATTCCAATAGAATAATCAATAGATTAAGTCAATCATAAGTTGTGAAATTAGCCCTAGAGTTAAAAGTGACACATTATCTTGCGTTACATGTAATAAATGCAAATATTGCTGAGAACAAAATGAAACTAATTTTAATTACTATAAATCATTTTTAGAATAGAGTCTGGTAAGAAGTTGGTTTTGTGTAAAAAATAATGAGAAAAATCTGTATAATGCCAAATTTATCAAGGATAAAGAATATCATAATGGCCAGGGCGATATAATAAGTGCACAGCTGGTATGACACCTTCAGGAAAATCATGAGCTGTTACTTCAGTTCCTGCACCTCTATCCATATATCGAACTCTGACACCAGTTCCTAATGCACTGCTCATTGCTATAATATGAATATGGTCAGATTCTTTGTACATTGGTTCGACTTCCTATAAAAAGAAATATTATTTAAGTAAATTTAGCAAAAATTTCAAGATATTAATATCAAGGTACAAACCTGATGACAGAATTCAATAATAGTGCGTTCTCCTTCAATAAAATGTTGGTAGAAATCAGCGTCACGTTGTAATTGACCAGATGTAATTAATCTAAGATATACAACAATATAATCAGAATAACCTTGTTCATTGAATAATTTGTGTAGTTCCATATGACTGGACTCTGTGTCACCACCTCCTACTTTATCAATTACTTCCATAAACTGTAATAAATATGCTTAGTAATAAATCTAATACCGAACTGAATATCATATTATTGATGTCATAATGTCCAATTACTACATACAAGGTGTTCCAAACTGTTCTTAGTTCTTATGGTAAGGAATTAATTATTTCATCTGATCTAATGAACGCACGGGAAAGGATAGACCAGATATTTTATAAAGAAAAATAGAACTTGATTCCGAAAATCTCCTAACAAAGATAAATATCAATTGATTTCTAATGGTAAAATAATATAGCAAGCAGTATGACAAGGCTGTGTACAGCAAAGAAACACACCTCTCACTATCAGTTGATACCCATTATTGCTAGATCTTCAGAAATAATTTTGTTCAGTGTCAAGTCTGTCTTTTTCTGTATGTTCATTAACACAGACAAAATAATGTCTCACTATTGCGAATTGTGCAAAGTGGTACATGACTTTTCTGCTCAGTTTCACCTATTCTACCTTATAAGAACCAAGAAAGGTTTGAGACATCCTGTATATTATAATATTGTCATCTTAAAACAATCTCACTCACTGTGTCGTGAAAGTCTTCAACTGTAAATTGAGGGAAACCTAAAGCTACAAGGCTATCCTTGCTTTTTAAAGCTAAATCTCGAAACTTATCATATTCCTCTTTATTTCCAATTAACTTTTCCAAATAAGCATAACTAAATGCCCTGAAGAAACAGTTACCATCAGGTCTTGTTCTCCTAATATAAGAATATTTTTGAGCCAACGCTTTTGTCTTTGAGAGATAAACCTCATCTTCTTTATATTCTTGTTCTAAACTCTTTAATGGTTCCTTCTCACCAACTAAAGCTATGGATTCTGAGATCTGAAATATAGAAAGAAATTAGGTAGAATAGAAAAAATAGAAATAAATAGAAATTAGAATAGAAAGAAATATAGAAAAAAATCCAATTAAAAATAAGATTTCATGAAAGATTTTATCTCTTTGTTCATTAACATTCAGGAAAGTAATGCTTCAAATAAATAATAAAGCTAACAGTAGCTACATGAATTATACTTTAATATGATAAATTAATAAAGATGATCAAGTGTCCTAATTTATATTTTAAAAATACATTTTGAAATAATATGCATGGCATATTAACCTCCTTCTCGATTCGTCTCTGTTGTTGAAGTATCAACTCATCTTGGTTAACATCTACAATAAAAACCAGAAGATGAATTATTCGATTTAATTACACAATGACGAATTACGGTAAGAAAAACCTGTATTTTCTATGGATTGCTCCTTTAACGGCTTGTCTTCCATATCTCACGAGATTTTGCTCAATTTCACAACTGTCAAATTATTAGTCGTAAATAAAAGCCCAATATTTGTATGTGAAATTGAAAAGATGTTTACCGCTGTGTTTCACGCTCTTAAGTTGGTACCAGAACATAAGCGATATATGTAGTCCGTTCTTTTTAGCTGCACTGCTGAATCAGTGCAATAGGTTAGGGAAAATTCATATCTTGTCAGAAAAGCAGAAAGCAGGAAAAAATTAATTAGAACTTACGCTGATAATTGACAGTTTCTGTTTCAACTACTGCTTTATCTAACTTATTACCAGCGCGAGTTCTGATTGGCTTTAGCTTTTCAGTTTTCTCCTTTTCTGTTAAAGTGTGAATTATCCTTGAGACAAGTATATTTTGGTTGTGTCCCAAAATTCATCGCCAGTGCCAAAAATCTATATTTCATATTATGTATACTATACATTTTTAGCACTGCCAATGAATATTGAAACCTTTCTGAATATACATAACTCTTTAAATCCAATATACTGTAACATCCTCATTTTTTAGGGAGGTACCATTACGATAAGTCCGGCGCTGTAGACATACTGGATTGGTGGAGAGCCTCAGGACAGTATTCATAGTTGGATCTTATATTTAAGATCGTCTCTTTAGTTTATCTCAGATGCTTGGTGGCCAGTGACATGAGTTATAGAGCATCTGAAGATAAACTTAAATATAAAATGCGATTATGAATATCGGTCTCAGTGAATGCGCCAATAATTGTGTTTCGTTATAATTTATTTTCCCCTATATCGCTCTAACAAGAAATTTTTAACTTAATTTTTTTTAAGTGTTTTTAACAAACACCTCTTTTAACAGGTAATAGATTTAATAATCATTCTGGGAAGCTTCATGATTGCTATAAAACATAAAATAACATAAATCAATTACAAGTATTATCAAGTGTGGGAAAAAGTTCGTGGTATTTTTTAGTAAAATTCAAATGTTTTTCTTAGAATATTGAAATCAGTTTGTTCAAACCAAATATGCTCCATTATTTTTTATAATTTTTTGTCATTTTTGGGGCAGAATTATAATCTCATTGTGATAGAACTTCTGTGGTTTCTGGTCGAAAAAACTGCTTCAAATGATTTTCACAGGCCTCTTTTAAAGCCAGCTTTACATCATTAACAAAGTTCTGCAGAGACCTAAACAAATTATAGTCTGAGGATGCTATATCAAGATTATATAGCGGATGCATCAAAACTTCATAGTCAAGCTCTCGCAATTTTCGTCAAGTCATGAAAGATGTGTGTGGTCGAGCGTTGTCGTGATGGAAGACGACACCCCTCCTATGATCAATATCCTATTAATTCTATTAATCCTATTTATTAATTCTGGCTGCTTCCTCTTAATTGCTTGTTGTAATCTCTCCAGTTGTTCACAGTAGAGTTCGGAATTAATTGTTTGACTGGGCGCTAACAGCTCATAGTGAACGATTTCCTTCCAATCTCACCACAAACACAAACAACATCACCTTCTTCGTCGTTAATCCTGATTTTGCAATTGCTTGCGCGTTCTCTCCTTTCTTTATGTGACGGCAATGGCAAGTAGCTTGATGCCGTTTATGCTGCTTGGAGTCTTACCGTAGACTCGTTTCGTGATCTCAAATCGCTTGTGGAATTCTTGATATTAATTGAACTCAACAATTCCGGAGTTTGAGACGTCTTTATTAATACCGTAAACCCACTAGTTATCGCAACCCGCAAGCCATAGTAGAGGCGCGACGCAGAATACAGAGCGGTGGCTTTTCTGAGTCGGAGTAATACACAGAACGATGCGTTCTCTAGCATGGCTCTCGGGCCTCTCGCTTCTAACGAGCGCATATACATATCGCGTAATATCAAGCGTCAACGAGTCAATACAAATAACGTGGGATGGTACCACTTTCCATAATACGTGTCCGATAAAACATTTACGCATTACCCGACCCGTTGGTCCTGAATACTTCTTTTTGGCACGTGTTACCAACGTGATATGTACTTTAACAAATATCACGCATTCTTAAGTAAAGTTCTGAAAACTTTATCCACAATTTTTTCCGGGTTCGATTATCGTACGTGACCCATTTTTCATCACCAGTTATCATTCTCTTCAGAAATTGAATAATTTTATTCCGTTTCAGTAGCGTATCGCAAATATTAATTCAGCCCATTATATTCTTAACACTCAACTCGTGAGAAATCCAAACATGGAGCTTCTTTTTGAATCCAGCTTTGTGTAATTAATTCAAAACTGTTTTGTGGTCGATGCCCAGTTCTCTGGCAATTTCCACACTGCTCACACGCTCAACTTTTTCTATAATTTCATCGGACTTTTCGGTGATTAGTCAACCGAAGCGAGGTTCATCTTTGACATCGAAATTTTCAGTACGAAAGTGAGCAATCCATTTCCGTGATACTGATTTTGATAGAATATCTTCATCGTAAACAGCACAAATTTTTTTACAAACCTGTGCAACGTTCTTGCCTTTATCGTAGTGATACTAAAAAATATAGCAAATTTTGTCCTTATTTATCTCTATTTTCAAAATAATATAACTTTTGACAAATTTCACCGATTTCAATATTTTTCGGCTCAAAACGACTGAAATGTCACGCAAGTCTAGTGTTGTCGATGCGATTAGTAGTTACCAAATGTTGAACATGTAATACCATCTAGTGCCACACGCCACGAACTTTTTCCCATACTTAATATTATCTTAACTAGGCTACTGCACTTCTTAAATTTGCCGACAGAACCATGAAATCTCATCATATTTTCATAGATTATAATCAACAGAATTATGAAGACTTCTCATGCACTAATGAATTAATATAATTGTTAAAGCGAGTTAGCAAGTTACGATTACTAAAGCGGAATAATAAACCGTCAACGTGTCAGGCGATAGATTACGAAATTATATACACTACGTCTCGGAACGCTTTTGAGCTCCGATTACTGTCCCTTTCTTTTTGTTTGACTCGGGTGGGTCCTGCTATGTCTTTTCGAAGCGGCAGTCTGCGTCAGATTGTCGTACAGGCTTCTTCGTGAGTTTGTGAAGTCGCAGTCTCTTTCTATTAAGAAGAAAGAAATCGCATTAACTGAGCGCCGTTCCTTCATCATTGCGTAAGTTTGTCGTTTTTGCAGAATATTACTTATTGTTTGAATGTTGGAATCATTAACGGAAAGCGTTTTATCTCTTTTTATATAACTTTACAACTACTCTGCATATATGTTTAGTTAATATCGCGTATAAACACGAGAATATACATATTATACACATATACTTTTATTATATTATGAATATTTATATATATTTCCATTATAATTTTTTTAATAACTATAAACGCATGCTATCGAATATTTACGCAAACTTAGTTGTGTCTTCACTGTTCTTCGCTTAATCCTTCGCTACATTCATATTCCTATCCCAACGCAGAGCTCTCATATCCCAGATAGCGCTGTGGAGGTTTAGAAGGGATAGCCCGGGAGGAATCTAGGCATGTGTCCACTGAGTACTCGGCACAGAGATTAAGAAAGACTCCTTTATTTCGTAGAGAAACACTAGAACGATGCAGCTCTAACGGCGGGCTAGTCTCCATTGTTTTACTGCCGTACCGCGACAAAGGACTAGCCGTGCAGTGACAAAAGACTAGCTCGCCGGCGTGTGGTGGGGGGCGAGCTCGCATGCAAGCGAGATAGAGTATGGCCGCCACATACACTCCCCTACCAGTGTTAAAAAATTATCTTATGTTAATTTTCAACACGAAAAAATGATACGCAAAGATACAGAAAAGATTGTCTTACACTAAGAAAGGTACTTATAGCTAATAATTCGGTACAACGCACCTGAGATTATATTAATCTCGACTAGAAAACGTACCGGAAGTGAAGACTGTCGGCGTTAAATTAACGCGAAACTTTGCGAAAGAGCCGCTTGTTAGATTAGGATTACCCCGACAACTATTTACAAAATGATATATTAGAGACGGAGTAGAAGAAAATAAATAACTATGCTCGAGTTCGAAAAAGGAAGACGCGTCACAATCACCGAAGACTCCTCTTAAGATTAAAGCGAACATGATAGATCGGACCTTGCACCGCACTGACATTTGTGCTAGTTTTTCTCTTGAGGATAGACAGTACAAACTTAGTTTTCCTATCTGCCGGAGGAGCAACCGAGGTAGTGTG